ACCAATGTTTATCTAAATGTAATGGCATTGTAGGAATTCTTTGTTATTATGACGAAAATAACATGGCTAAATTTTAGTACAGGGGTGTCGTCATGGTTTTTTTTTATCACGGTAACGAGAAAACCGGAGAAAACCCTTGTCATGTGACGAAAAAACTCATGACCACACCCTTGTACTAAAAATTAGCCATCGTGTTTTCGTCGTCGTGACAAAGAATTTTTACCGTCAGTCCATAAGAGCTTGCTCTACGGACACCCCGAACACCCTTTTGTTGCGAAATAAAGAAAGAAAAAAAAGCAAATACGAACAGGTTTAAACATCAAACATTATAGGTTTGTGGCCTGATCCTCCCTAATCTGGTATGTTACACTCACAGTGCTTAGCATGGACATGACCACGCTCACCAGCAAGTACTGTGGGAGGAGCAGACCAAACACCGAGTTCACTTCACTGCACGATGCTAGCACCGAAGTGTGCAGTTTCGCAAAAGCAGACATATGACTGCCGTTGTGCTGAAAACAGATAGAATTACAGTCAGGTCATGTATGAGTGGTTTTACAAATAAGATGCATAACGATTTCCGTGACTGCAACCCAGTTGTATTTCACTCAATCCCAACCGTAGCTAAACAGTACTCATAATGAGCACCTTACCCCATTCGGTGGCGAGGTGGCAGCGCGTAGTGGGAACCCCTAGAGGTATCGCATCGTATTGGGTGTTGCCTCTTTTTATTCACGAGATGATGACAATAAAGCATTCCGGTAAAGCTGAAATGCAGAAGAATGCAGGGAACAAGAAAACGGAAGGCCCATGTAAAAGCATAGTGATTTCCGTTTTCTTCGGTTTTCTTCTTCCTTGCATTCTTCTGCATTTTAGCTTTACCGGAATGCTCTAGGAGAATTGCGTTTCACTGAAAACGGTACAACGTTTCCGCGATGAGTGAGAGGCCTTTACAGTCAAGTTTGCCGAGATCAGCAAAAAGAAGATCCGTCGTTGTCTAGCGACCGTTTTCTGATCCGTCGTTGTCCAGCGAACGCTTTCTGATCCGCCTTTGTTGCACGGATGCGTCGAATTCCGTAATCCTAAATGGCACGTTCGCTGACGAGGGGTGCCCAACTCGAAAAAATCGTGTACACCTGATTACCAAAAAGTGATGATTACCAAGGATTACCAAAGATTACCGAAGATTACCGAAGATTACCTATGATTACCAAGGGTTTCCCAAGATTACCACTGACAAAAGATTTCCAGAGATTACCAAAGATTGCCATGGATTACCACAGATTACCAGTGATTCCCAAAGATTGCCAGTGATTCCCAAAGATTACCAGGAATTTCCTGGCTGGATTACTTAGTGATTACCAAAGATTACCTGGTGATTACCATCGATTACGTGGTGATTACCAATGATTACCTAGTGATAACCAGTGATTACCAGGGATTACTGGTGATTACCAAGGATTACCGGCGATTACCAAGGATTACTGGCGATTACCAATGATAACCGGTGATTACCAGGGATTACCTACTCTGTGTACACCTGATTACCTCAGTTGGGCACCCCTCGTTCGCTGAGTATTGCCCAGTTGTGATTTACCCTCGTTTAGTACCCCATGTTTAAGTGTCGCCGTACCTTTTTTAACCGCCAAAACTCGAACCGCCAGGATACCTCGGCAAACAGTACGACGCAGGCGACGTGCAGAGACTGCTCCACGAGTAGCAGCGTGAAGAGACAGACGTTGCAGCATGACACGCTGTAAACTTCGAACAGCCACTTCAAGTAGGGAAGCGCTGTTGGACCCCATGGCTGCCACCATTCTACAGCCTGACCAAAAAAGAAAGCCAGTGCTTAGCTTCGTCGTATTTCCGGCGATTACGACGAAATTGATACGTCGGTCGAGTCTCGACGTCTGAATTTCGTCGAATTTCGTCGAAAATGGACGTCGGGTTCGGACCGACGTCGGTAAAAACCGATGTAACGTCCCGTCAGTTGCGTCGGCTGTTTGGTCCAATGACGTGTGTCGGTCACGTCACACGTCGTGAGTCTGTCTTGGCCGACGTCGTAAGTCTGTCATGCCCGACGTCGCGCCGGTCGTGTCCGACGTCCGGAAAGGGGCTGACGACGGCCATTACGGCCTCTTGGCCACCGGCTCTGGGTCGACGTCGGTGTCACGGCCGACGCCCTGCCCTGATCATGACTACGGGTTCCTGCACTCCCTGGACAAGGTAGGCGCGATAGCTCAGTGGCTATCGCCCTAGACTTGTAACACCAAGGTTCGAGGTTCAACTCCCCCCAGTTGCGGATCTACATTCGGCGTTCTGTAAGGTAAAGTTGTTGTACGAAGGTAGTACGAAGGAGGAAAGGTAAGGGAAGACGCGAGTCGGTACCGTAGAAGGCTGAGGAAGGCCCACAGAGAACCTTTTTGTGTCGGTCGTTGTCGACGGTCGGTTATGACGACGTCAGTCAGCGTCGGGTTGACGTCGGGTTCGACGCATACCCGCCTGACGTCGTGAAGGCATGTATTCGGTCATTACACGACATTTGTTCGACGTCGGTTGTCCTTCGTGGCAACGTCGGTCTGTCCGATCAGGGATGATTGTTTCGTCAGGTGACAACTCAATCGCCAAAGCATGTGAAATGAATATGCTGTCACATAACTGGAAAAGAGAAATTTGGTACGAGGGGAATCGAGCCTGGGATCTTCGGTGTGGAAGCAAGCGCCCTTTAACCACACGGCTACCTACCGAGGCTAGCTGTACGGAGTCACGCTGGCATCCAGAACCTAGCCATGAGCGCTTATTTGCTTCCAGGTTTGTGACAGTTATTTTGTCACGTGACAAATGTTTCATTCATCTCGATTGACGAATAGTTTATCACAAGTGACGAATGGTTCGTCACGATGTGACGGTTAGATCATCTCAACCCTTGTGCCAAACTATTCGTCGCGATATTTTTCGTCACATGACGATTCAGCAGTGCGTGAAGCTGGCACCACCCAATGCAGATAGAAATATTTCTACTACCTCTCATCGGTTAGCGAAGCCCAGTCCAAGTCGCTGAGCGGTCACGCGATGTCTCCGTCGTAAGTCTGTCTGTCCGTGTCTCACTCACTCGATGGACTACGAAACGGCTGCAGCTATGACGAAATGCGAGTTTGTTTAAAGATTGACATTTGCTAGGGCAGTTTCTAATACATTTTTTTTCAGGCTTTGTTTAGTTTGAAATATTCAATCGCTTAATTTGAATTCGCGCTTAGTTTGTTGGCATGTTGGCAGCACTGCATCCGAGTGGGCGAAGAGCGCAATCGGCACCTGCGCCACTTCAAGACTTTCTTACTCTCTCACAAGTGATCAAGCTGTTGGATTGTCAAACCGAATGTGATATCTTTAGTTTAAGAACTCGTCCTAGAAAGGTTCGCGACTTTCCGCGGTTGAAAGAAACGAAAGTGATATTTGGAACGGTTTACGTGTTAACGTTGGAGAGGGGGGGGGTGTATTGGTTCACGGGAAATGTGAAAAGATAACTAATGTTCAGGGTTCATCTTGCCAAAAGAAAAAAAAACGTTTCATGCTCCAGGACGATCGGAATCGAAGCGGCAGTTATATCCCCCACAAAATTGGTACTTTGGTCGTTGTTGGCACATATTGTCAGCTAAGGGACTAATAACTTTGCTATTTCGACTCTGATCGGCTTTGAGCATGCGACATTACTTTTTAAATTTTTTAAAAAAGATCCAAATCCTGTATTACATTTTTTTCTTTTGTAATTGTGTCTACCGAAACAAATCAACCATGTATTTTGATGAATATAGAAAGTAGACTCCCCAGCAGAATCGGTTGCCTACCTACTAGGTGGACCCTCATTCATTATAGCTCTGTTCTTTATGGATGGGTATCGATGGGTACTAGGAATAAAGGCCGATGTCCCGCGGGTCTAGAACAAACAGGACGATGTCGCGCGCTGCTTTATAAGAAGGTCCGATGATGTTTCGAGAGCCGCGCCGTTTAGACATCGCACCTTTTGTTTTCAGTAAAATGCGGGCAAACCATTAAGAATACGACAAAAAAAAAACTTGAGGCATAAACGGAGGACGAATGTTCAGTCTACATTTTAGGTCTTGGGAGTTTTCGTCATATTTCGCATGGTTTGCCCGTATTTAACTGAAAGGGAAAGGTCCGATGTCCATTCCCAAGGGGCTCAAAACATCGCACTTTAAAAGCAGCGCGCGACATCAGACTCTTTCTCATAGACGGATGTCGGCCTTTATTCCTAAGGCGCGTCGTTCTATGTTAAGTCTTATGTTATTTTAAGGCACTTCACTCAGCTACACCGTGCATAATGTTAACGCATGGGGCCGTACGTGTTTTGGTACTCAATTTGTATTTCTTCGCCGTCAAGTTTTTATAATTTGTACAAGCAAAGAATGGCGTCCAAAATAAATAAAAAGTGGGGGATGCTATAGTTTTATTCTTGAACCGCCCAATCGTCCGAGGGTGACAGGAATTGGCTCACTCTGATCTGAGAAATTTGTACTTTCAAATATCACATCTGCACCGCCCAATGCAGCTACAAATTTGTACGACACCATTTCTTTTAGTACTTAATTTGTACTCTTACCTCTTGTCCTGCACTCTGGAGGCGGGGTTTGTAACTGCTCGAGGTCGATTCATATCAAACCCTCTTAAACTGTAAAACAATCAAACGATATAAATCCTCTATCCAAGAATAAAAATACTAAAAAATCTAAAATTTGGTCAGGGTAAGAGTACAAATTAAGTACTAAAGGAAATGGTGTCGTACACATTTGTAGCTGCATTGGAGAATCTTCTCTGAAAGATATAAAACAATAAAGAATTACTGCAGTGGTGAGAAGACACAACATTGGGCAAGGCTACAATGCAAAAAATAATGACTAAATGACAGCGTCGACCGCCAATTGATTCCCTCCAAGTTGCAAGGGCAACATAACTGGCCTCGGGCAGCCGCAGACCTCGCGCAGCTGAGAACTTCGCGCAGTTGCAAACGATATAAATCGACGTCGCACAGTTGCAGACAGGGTGCAGCTGCTGGCCTCGCGCAAAAGTGTCAACAAGTACCTCGCGCAGTTGCCATCGTCTCATTCAAACAATATAGGTAATATATCGTTGTGCATTTTACCCAGAGGTACTTTACGCGCCGAACGTCTTCAAATCGAACTACTGTTGGAATGTTCGCACAAATTGGCTGGGACGACTCATGTGCATTTTCACTGTGAAAAATAGTAGGAACACTTAAAGTAAAATTTTCCATGACAAAAAATCTAACATAACAATTTGTAATCGCAAAAATACATGCAGTACGTATCGACTTGAAATGTATTAGCGAGTAAAAAATGTATTCTCGTAAATTTACAACGTAAATTATAATTCAAGTTAACTGAAATTTTGTAAATTTACGATGATATTTTTCTCAGTGTTCTGGAGAAACAACAATACAAACCCTGCTCAAATGAGCGCAGTTTA